CTTGTCCTCGTCTTCCATAACAAAGCACTTTACTTCAACGCAAACCTCACACAGGGGCATTATGTGCAAGACATATTACCCGATAGCTAACGCCTGCGGCTTTTTTGCATGCTTTAAACCTTTACTTAGAACTTTTAATAAAATTGCCTCATTCTCCTGTACATGTAACGCAAGTAACGCTTAGGAACTTTGCTCAAAAGAAACGAATAATCATTGCTTTATTACTACGCTTCTTGTATAGATGCGAACCTTGCTATGATGCAAACGTAATCTGTTGTAAATGAAGAGCCGAAGTCAGAAGGTTGTCTGGGTGGAACAAGACACGTAACATATGGAGTGCTAGAGAACGCTTTGAGCTGAACGCGTAAATCGACTGTGTGGGCAGAAATCAATACTTTTTGATCCTAACCGGTTTTTTTGTGCCATATTACTTCAAAACATGGCGGAGAGCATGTTGCATCAAAACTTCGACCTCGCGAAGGACTCGAACCCGCACTTGTGCTTTACGGGCACCGTGCTCTTTACCTCCTACACTGACGAGACCCCGCTTGCCCTTTCCTTCTTTAATGGCTTCGTGATAATTCACATTTAGCGCAAAAGGATACCCATTGATGACCTATAATCCGGAAAATTTTGATACTTGACTTTGAGGTTAGGCGAATAGTCCTTGAAAACATTTCACCCCTGTGTGCCGATCGTCCCGTTTAATATTGATTTGATTGAACGGGCGCCAGTAGACTCTGCTCCCTGTGAAAGTTGACTTTCATTTCGTTTAGAGGGGTCAAAGAACTCTGACAATCATGATGACTGCCTCCACGAGGGATACAGCTAGTGGCAGCCATCTGTCAGTGTGCCCTTTCTTCAGCGGCTGGATGAAGCGGGCCGCGTACTCATCCCACTTATAGTCCAATTCTCTGCCTAATCGGCTCTACAGCTGAGTTCATGCTGACTTTTCAACCGAGGTACATGTAGCTAGTGTACACAAATGTTGGCGCCATAGAGCGTAAAAAAACGGCATATGCCACCCCGTTTCACATGAACATCGTCTCTGAGGTCCATCCTCAAGTCAAGCTTTCCACGGTATTGTCCAATTCGGCCAGCGGTGGTTCCGCCTGCCTGATGTTCGTGTGCTATCAGCATGATGTCGTCCGTAAAGCGAAGATGATCTAGGTAACGACCTTCACTCACAAATTTTCCCGTTCCGAATGATGCAAGGTGCGCTCAACAGCGGCACTTTGGAGGAGATGCTTTGATCCCTCTTCATTTGACTTAAGAAGCCTCTTTCAAACGAGTAGCATGTGACGTAACGGCGTCTTGTATTCTGGCAATTCTTGAGTGAATATTGACAGATACAAGACGCCGTTACGTCATACGTTCATTGACAGGGTCTATATGATCGATTGTACTGAACAATTCATAAAAACCTGTTGTTAGCCTGTCCTTCATCCAGTGTGTCAATCGTGTCAATCCTGTTGAAGGTGACACGTGTGAAGAGCTTGAAATCTACAAAATCACAGACACCAGGCAGATTGGCAGGTCTCCGTACTTAAGCCATTTTAGTTCTCCAGGAATGTGCGCCTGCATTATGGCAGACCGCAGAAAGAGCTAAGCCAGGGTTTTGACGATAACAGGCGAGAGGCTTTCATGTGTCCTGATTCGGAGGTGTCGAAACCGAGCTCTGTACAGCTGTTTATCGAAAAGATGCCATGCAGAATTTGGGAGGGCAGAACTCAAGGTACGATCATATGCCCTGTCTAAAATGATAGGAAGGCAGGTAGACATGGCGGCTATTGAGAAGGTCATCATTGGAAGAAGAAGTCGTAGGTAATCTTTTCCACTACCCATCGAGATGTGCATGTTTTCAGTAGCCCTTCGAGTTATCACAATACGAAGGGCGATAAAAACAATTACATCACCGAATTATTACCTCCTCGTGTAATTGTTAACACAATTATGTTTGTTCGAAAAATTCTTGGCCTCACTTCCTTGAATCCGACTCGGGAACCTGAGGGGAATTACCACGTGACGAACATTCAATTGCAAGATTGCTTCCAGCGTCTTCTTCACCTAATCTTTTTGTTATTCGTGATCTGAAATATGAAGATGTAAATAGAGAAGCCTAGTACAATTTTTAATTAGAGCTAGCTTATAA